GACTTGGAGCCTGAAAAGAGGAATCTAGAAAAATTTGTAGGAAGGCCCAAAACCCACAACTAAATATTACAAAGTTTCTTCCAGTATGATCGATTTGCCAATAATTTTCCAGCCAACACAATTATAGAAGCTCCCCAGAATAATTTGTATGCTTTCAGACTTTAAATTATACCAAATGCAAAACAAGTAACACATTTTCTTAGCTAGTTTACTGAATTGAATTATGATTAAGCTTTATGTATTTAAGTTCTGAAGTTCTACATGTAAAATATTTTTAATATTCTTGGAAATATCTCGTCAAAACTGTCTAGTAGCAAAGTCCCAAGAAACTGTTCATACATTTTTCTCTTCCCTCCCTCCATTTTATAGATTTTTATTATTATCTATTGGGATAAAATGTTGCTCTTTAAAAATAAATTTGCAAATCTCTTTGATATTCTGAAATAAAGTCTAAGTATGTAAAACTTTACATTGCAATAAAAAGGAAAATGTTTTAGAAGGCATCATTTTCTAATTTTATCTCCTCAAAGTACACCAAAAATTTAGTGTATTTTAGCCTCTTCTTGATAACTGAGTATCATTTAGGGTCAACTGTTAATACTACTAGAGTATAAATTCAGTAATTTCCTTAGACTCCCATGATGCAAAGGGCTCAGCTACTTTTTCTCCTGAATTCTTCCTAGACTGCTAAACTTCTGCTGTCTCCCTCTCCAGCGATATTCTGAGATTTTTAAGCTAGCCTCTTTGTTGTTCTGATCACTTTATTTTATCTCAACCTTGTGGCCAATCCCCACTGCTATTTATTCCTGAGGTTCCAGTGCCTATTCAATGTGTCTATTCAATTTCTCTGCTCAGAAGAACCAAGGGTGTTTGCAGAAGAAACTACATAATAGCACAGCATGTGAAAAACAAAAATATGTTCTATACATAAAACTGTCTGGAGTAAAGTGTATATATTTTTGTGACACCTACAAACTTCTAGCTTATTTCTGAATTTGTGGTTCTTAGAAAAAGCTTAATTAGATTCACTAGTTATTCATTAAGTACTTGTGCAAGGTACTACACAATCCAGGTTGAAGTTGCTATACATGTAAATGCCAGCCAAGTGTGATATTACCATACATAAAAACATCTGCATATTAAAATTCAATTATTTGTTTTTGAGGGAATAATGTGTGTGATAATAACAGCATATCAGAGAAATACTATAATGCAGTGCTGACTTGATAAGAGGGTATGAGTCTTTTTCCTATACCAAACTATTCCTACTGCTTGGGACCCATTCCCAACGCCCCTTCTATTCAACTCATACTCATTCTTTAGATTTATGCCAAATATTATCTTCTCTAAAGTTTTTTCTGGATTCACAGAAATCTGATGTCCTACTTTTCCTACTATGAATTCTCTAAATATTTCCTCTTATTTATTTATTTAATAATCTCCTGACTGGTAATCTTATTTATTTAATAATCTCTCTACTGCTAATTTAGTTATATAACAGTGACTTGTAAATAAAAATAATAGTGATAATATAGATGATAGTGGTAATCATGACAGAAATGATGACGAAGGTAGCGGGCACTATTCTGAGTGCTTGACATGTATTACTTAATTTAATCCCCACAACAACCCTATCAGTGGAGCACCTATTATTCTCATTTGAAAAATGAGGAAACTTTGAGAGTTTCAATAATTTGCTCAATTCACATAGCTAAGAACACTGTACTGTTTACATAGGTAGAAGAAGGTAGAGAGTAGAATATTTACATTACTAGCATTTTAATACTTATGCATATTCAAGTTTGGATTGAAATAAATGACTTAGAGAACAAGGAGTAGAAGAAGAGCTCCCTAGGATGCCAGAACTGGCTCTACCTATTATAACTGGCTCTGTAATGCTGCATTTTACAATAAAGAATCAGTTTAATCAGGCTATCACTGTGAAAAAAAAATGCTCGTTACTTACCTGTCTTATGAAGAAGTCTCCATGAATTAGAGAAACTATTCCAAAGTTTGTGTACTTAAAAATATGATCCATCAACCACATCATTTGAGCAACAACCTAAAATATTTAAAAACAAGAAATAATTAAATGTTGAATAGAAGAAACTATACTCAAACAACCTAAGTTTTGAGAGTACTTGAATGTATCATGGAGTATACAATAAATCAAGTAAATATTCCTACTTGTAAATATAAATTAATATTGCCCTAACTTATTAATAAGCAAGAGGTAAATCGCACCTTTATGTTTCTCAATTACTTATTTATAAAAGATAAATTCTTCAAGATTTAAAATTGTTTGGCAATATCAGATCATAAAAAATGTTAGGATAACTAATCTGAAAATTAAAAAAAAAAAAAGAAAAACAAAATTACTCTAGACAGAAAAATGAACCTGACACACTAACTGAAATCTATTTACAAAAGCAAACAAAACAAACTTGTACTAATAACCAAACTGTTATTAGTACAAATATATCTACATATCTACATATGAAAGTCTTTTAACAAATTCAAGACTTAATATAAGAAATAACTGAATTTATTCCACATTCCAGCAAGATTATATCTCTGCTTTTCAGATAGACAAGAAAAACAAATTCCAAAACAATCAAACATATTTTCCTGGACTCTCACCTCATTTCCTAACCCCTGACCTACTGAATCAAAATCTCTAGGGCCTTAAACACAACCAGGCTTATTCTCGCTTTGTTGTTTTGGCCAAGATTGTTTCAACAAGAAATAAGTCTCTTGTTTCAATACTCTTTTACTAAATTCTACTTGTCCTTCAAGGCCAAGTATATGTCCTCTTCCCTCCACAAAGTTTTCTATATTCATCAAGTACATACTGAACTCACCCACCACCGAATACTTCACTTTGCAATTAAGTATTGCTCGCTATACCCTCCATCCACCTACCACTGGACTGTTAGCTCCAGGTCTCCCCATCTCTATTTCATCCAGAACCATTATATAAAAGCAAAGTGTCTTATATGGTGGTGTTCTATACTTATAGTCACTGATCATGAACACAAAGCAATAAACATCTATGGATTTGTTTCTTTACTATTAGGCCAAATATCAGCTCCATTAATTTTATATACTTTCTATTTATTTATTTTTCTGTGAATAGAACCTCTAAGGTGATAATTCCTTTAATCCTAAAGATAATTTATTTTAAACCCATCCAGTTTACAGATATATTTTAGTTATCAATATAAGCAATGTAAATTAACAGTTCAAATGCAATCTTAGGAACACTGAATAAATTGAGCCTAATATCTTTCTTTTCAGTATGTTTTGTAATGAAATCCAAAATAATACTTACCTTATTTTCCTTTGGCTAAAGATTCCCCAACTCCTCGAATTCACTGACCAATGTTACTCTTCGATCTTAAACAGTATTGCTTTTTGTGTCTGTATTTCTCAAGCTGGCAATCCACTACTTCATCTCAAGAAAGCCCCCAATTTAAACCACATTAATTTTACTTTCATCCCAGTTATTTCTTTTAAAAAAAAAATAGCCTTATGGAGATACAATTCATATTATCGCAGTTATTTTTTTAAGTCTCTAAATTCTTCTCCTGGAGTGACTTAGAATTATGTACATTTTTCTTTTTTAAAATTTTCTAAATTTTCAGGGAAAGTATACATATTAAAGTCTACGTTCTAAACTATAGTAAGATACTTGAATCGATTATTTATTAACCTTTCCTTTCTACTGTCTACTTCTGCCTTCAGAATGGCTTACCAGTCCTTTGTTCTGGAGGCACATCATCAGCGTACACACATCTCCCGTTGCTTGATGATTCACCAACATTACAGCTTCATCCTTTGAGACCGCTTCAATATCGTCTCCCCATTCCATCACTGTAAGAATAAACAAGCTGTCATTTTAAAGATTTTTACAGAAAAACTGGTATACATTAATGATACATCACCTAGCTAAAACTTCTGAAAGTTTAGAACTCTATTTCCTATAAAAATCAGGACACTGATATAACATTAGGTAGAACCCAAAAATTCCCATTAGAATATAAAACGGTTATACCTTTGATCTAGAAGTTTACTTCTTAAAATTTATGCTACAGAAATATTTGTCCAAATAGGCAAAGATAAATGCATAAAGGATGTTTAATGCAACTTAAGTGTTCACCAACAGGGGAATGGATATGAAAATCATGATATAATGAAGAGATAACCTTCAAAGAATGGAAGATATCCGCATGCTAACCCCAAAAGGAATTGTTATCAAGTAAATAGAGCAAATGTATAGTATGATTCCATCTTTTTAAAGAAGAAATCAAATTTTATGTTATGTAACATGTTGAAAAAAGTCTGGGGTAATTAATTCCAAACTTTTAATACTGCTCACCATTGGGAAGTGATTCCCAGAGCCCTTCAGATTCTATTTTACAATAAAATAAGTGAATATTACAAAAATGTATGAAGTATTTTCATTTTAAAATAAGAAAAATAAAGATGTTACATTTATTTAAAATCTCCAGATGAAAAGTCATTGCACCAAAACCGTACACTCTATAGAAAATAGTGGTTACTCCATATGGTTATGCTTCATTTCATAGTAAATTTATCTCACAGAAAAAAAAAATCGAGCATCAGTTTTAAACATCAGGATTCTACAAAGAATTTTCTAGGGTTCTTCAAATGTCTGACATGAATCACCAGAGGTCGAATAGCCATTAATATTCACTCATGTCACTCACTGCCAGAAGGAAAGAAGTCGAACTGCCTGTATATCAAGGTTCTGGATGAAATAGAGATGGGGAGACCTGGAGCCCACCTGCTTCACCTCCCCCAGCCTCCCTTCTTCCCCAATCACCTTTCACTGTCACCCCAATACACTGGAGTGCCTCATTATGCAGTGGAGAATCCCTAAGGAACAGAGGTAGAATAGAAGTAGAACACTGAGAGAGCCACCAGTGGCACCAACTCTCCTGTCACAGCGCCCTTCCCAAGTTCCCACTTAGTTCAGCTGACAAGTTAACTTTACCACTGCAATATCATACATTGCTAGAAGAGTATAAATTGGTACAAAAGTTTTAGAAGTCAATTTGGCAATAATATATATCAAAATTAAGAACTGTGAAAATCTTTTTACCCAGCAATTCCACTTCTAGGAATTCATCTTACAGATATACTTACTCATGTGCAAAATGACACATATGCAAGGCTATTTATTGCAGCATTGTTGATAAGAGCAAAGATAAAAACAACTAAAAAAGGGAGACTAGCTCAAATTCATAGAAACAGAATGGTGGTTGCCAGGAGGGGGAAATGGAAGTTGTTCAGTTTTATAGAGTCATGTTTTACAAGATGAAAAAGTTCTGGGGATTGTGAATACTGTGAATATACTTAACACTACTGACCTATACACATAAAAATGTGTATAACTGTATGATGCTAAATTTAATGTAATGTGTATTTTATCAAAATTAAAAGTAGAGAGACTAGTTAAATTATACACATGTAATGGAATGTTATATAATCAGCATTTGTATACCAATATAGAATGATATACTGTAAATAATAAAGTGTGGAACTGTATGTGAAGAATGCCACCAGTTGGACTTTTAAAAATGATGAGGAAAATATATTTACTAAATTAAAACTCCCCATATCATGCTTCTATTGACCATACACACACACACACACACACACACACACTCGTTCTTTCATTAATTCATTCTTCACTAAATAAACCAAAGCATCAGGCTCTGTAAGGTGTTGTGCATATAAAATAAATAATAACAAAAGTATTATTCTAATAGCAGTTAAAGTGTCCAAGAAAAGCTTATCTAGGTTCTATAAATATTGAGCTATTAAGAGGTCATGTGGAAAGTCTCCTGGTTCTACATCTATATAAATAGATGTTTCGTAACCAACTATTCCTTTAATGCAATCTCTGCTACATGAATGGGAAATAGTAAATACCTAGGCTTATACAGTGGGAAGTGTCCATGTGAACATAGCTGCAGATAAAAATAAGTTTGTTAAATAGACTGTATCTACCTGTTTATTTTAGTAAGCATATTGGTTTAAATCTCAAAATATAAACTGCATTTAGAGCACCCAGTACTGGATTGAATAGTGTCCCCCCGGAATTTACATTCAGTCAAAAATCTGTGAATGTGACCTTATTTGGAAAGTGTCTTTGCAAATGTAATCAAGTTAAGGTGAGGTCAAACTAGATGAGGCTAGGGCCCTAAATCTAAATGCAATATGACTGGTGTCCTTAGAAGAAGAGGGAAATTTGGACAGAGAATGCCATGTGACAATGGAGGCAGAGGCTGGAGTGGTGTGTCTACAAGCTGAGGGTTGCAGACAACCACCAGACGCAATCAAGAGGCAAGGAAGGGTCGAGCCTTTCCTAGAGCCTTCAGAGAAAGCACAGCCCTGCCAACAGCTCGATTTCAGACTTCTCATCTCCAGAACTACGAGATAACAAATTTCTGTTGTTTTAAGCCACCCAGTTTTGTGGTACTTTGTTATGGCAGTTCTCTGATACTAATATGCCTCACCCACCCCCTCAACTGTGCTCATTCTTTCTCTTTTCCATTCTATTCCCTCACAAATTACAGTTTTCTTCTTATTGAATATAGGAAAAGAACAACTGTACTGTACTTTAAACATCTAGAACACTTTAATAGACATCTAACATTCTGTATTATAAGTGGTTCTCAATGTTCATTTCCATAATACTTTCAGGGTGTAATCGTTAAGAGTTAATCCAATACATATTTTCTCTCTCAGCTATAACTTAGCCAAAATATATTTTCAAACTAAATGTCAATTTAGTAAGACTTCATGGCATACTGAATCAAATAAGTAATGGTGGCTGGATCAAGTTTTTAATTAAGAAATTATCCTGATGTAGCTATAAAGTTATGTTGAATTTTGTAATAATCTCAATTTTATTCAACAATAAATTTAATTTCCAGTATCTGTGGTCTTCTTCTTTTATTGTACTTTTATCATACTATTAAATGCTTCAAATATCACTGTTAGACAGTTATATGACTAACAAAATCAAGAGTAAAAAATGCTTGCAAGGAAAAAGCATTTATTTTATGTATGAAGCAGCTATGTTCCTCAGATCATAGCTATCCCAGAACTGGCAAGGATAATAATAGAGACAGTATCTTAAGCAAGGAATAGAATTATTTGCATGTTAAAGGACAGAAGCTATGACGCCTGCCAGTTCTTACACTGAACTCGATCAGAAGAACGAAAATATTTTAACAAACTGTCCTGTGAAAAGCATCCTCAAAAAAATAATTGGGTCAGGATGCAAACGCACAGTAAAAAGACAACTTAATAAAACTGCAGGAAAAGTAATGTAGTTGTAACTGAATTCTTTAAATTCTTGTTAAAAACCAAAGCCAAAGCTTAATATCTACTTCTCTTCCCTCTCCCTCTCCCTTTAACATGTTAGAAATGTCCCCCAAAAGTTATAGACTAGAATTGCTCAAGACAGTTTACATCTCGAAAAGAAAAAAAACAATAATTCATCACAACTTCCTTAAAAGCAGTGTTGCTAAAGCCATATATAAACCCAGAAAACAGAATTAATGTGGAGAAAAAAGGTTGCTTAATACATGATCATAATAAATTGCCTTTCAAGGTTCAAAAAAAATTATGCCTACAAGTGATGCCACAAACTATTTTACTATCCTGTGCCTTGGTTTTCTCATTTATGAAACATTAATAATACCATTAATGCTACTCCAAACATATTGTGAAAATGAATGAGATATAATTGATAGAACCACAGAGATCCTGGGTAATTGGACTGCATGAGAGTTAAAATCACTTTCAAAATCACTATTAACTAAAAGAGTCATAACACGCCTACTGTGTCGTGTAAGGTCAGGTATTCTAATATGAATAGAATTCCAAAGATTAAAGAGCAAAACACACACACACACACACACGAAAGAATCTCACGTAGTTTAAGAACCTCAGCTTTCAGCGGCCCACATTGGGGGAAGACTGCACTGAATTTGTCAGTTAGAGGTGAGCAGAGCAAATGGGCAAGATAAAAAGAATAAGAACATTAATTAAGGGTGGCCATGAGAAAGTAGCTTAAGGTACTAATTAATGGAGGGGAAACTGGCAAGGAAAGGAACCAAGCAAGGTGGTAATTAACTAAAAGAAAATGAAGGGCGGACTATTTTAATATACACTGATGCTATCCTCCCATCTCTACCCTTCCCCATTCTAGTCAAACTCCCAGAAGTAGCACCCAGACATTTTGAAAAATCTCCCTGGGTCAATCTGATGTATACTCGTAAATAAGAACCACTGGAATTGAAGCACCGATGAGTTTTGTTTTATTTTTTAAAGCAAATATATTGAACGCACTGGAAATTGCGGTCAGTGCTCCGCTGGCACTTAAAATTTAAGAGGTTCAGCTTGAGAAGGCAAGTCTCAAGGAGTAGCTTTTGAAAGGATTGCTTAACTGAAAGAATAATAGCATGTATTATTAAATAGATATATAATTAAATACTAATAATCTTAATAGATAACATTTATAGAATGCTTTACTGTGTGCCAGGCATTTGTAATTAGTAACAGAAAATAATTTACATTATTTTATTGTTTAATCTCCACAAAATCCCAAATGTACAGATACCATTATCCCCGATTTAGAATTGATAAAAATGAGACATAAAAGGGTAAGCAGAATTTTCAAAGTTATATAGTTAGAAAGTGGGGGAACTAGGATTCAGAACCACCGGATCACGCCGTCACCGCTGGCATGCTGCAGGTTAGAGAACCCTGAAGGCAATAACTTGGACAAGTTGCTCACACGGCCCCTGAAGTTGCCAATGACCACGCCAGGAAGT